ATGGTGAGATATACTGTATTCATGTATTGGAAGACTGGATATCGTTCAAATACATTCCCACACTTATCTACAGATTCAACATGATATCAGTCAAAATGCCAGCTGGCTTTTTTGTAGAAATTGATGTGTTAATTCCAAAATTTATAAAGAACTCAAAAATGCCTTGAATAGCCAAAGAAAACTTAAAAAAGAACAAAAATACTGAAAGGCTTACATTTCATGATTCAATACATGATTTATGATTTATACAGTTTAGTAATAAACACTGTAATGTGGTATAACAATAGGCATACACCATGTTCAGTGGAACATGATAGAGCTTCCAGAAATTGACCCACATAGATAGATAGATAGATACATAGTCTATTGATTTTCAACCAAGTTGGTAAAGTAATTCAAGGATAATCTTTTAAATGATGCTGGAACAGCTGGCTGTTTGTGTGGAAACAATTGGATAATAGACCTAAACAAACATAAAAAGCTAAACCTATAGAATTTCTAGAAGAAAACGTGGAGCAGTTTTATAACTTTGCATAGGCAGATTTCTTTGATCACAAAAAACAATGTAGAGGAAAATGGTGATAATGTGACTTGTTAAAATTAAAAAGTGTGTTCTTCTAACAATCCTACTTTAAAAAAAAAAAAAGCCACAACTAGGAGAAAATATTTGCAAATTCCACATCTCATCAAGGACCTGTATCCAGAATATATAGAGAACTGTTGTTATTGTTGTGTGTCATTGAGTCGTTTGTGACTCACAGTGACCCTGCATGACTGAGTGGAACTGCCCAATGGGCTTTCCCGGGCTGTTTTCTTCACAGACTGGGTCACCAGTTCTTTTCTCCCACAGAGCTGCTGATAGGTTTGAACAGCCAGACCTCACCGGTAGCACCCAAATGTTTAACCATGGTGCAATCAGGGCAACTTAATAAAAAGAAGACATCTCATTTTTAAAATTAGCAAAACATTTGAATAGCTTTTCACAGAAGTTATGTGACTGGCATATAAGCACGTGAGATGCCCAACATCATTGTCCATCAGAGAAATTCCAATTAAAATCGTAGTACAGTATTACTTCACATCAGTTCTAAGGCTTCTAACAATATCATTAATATCACAAACAAGTAAAATTTAGCTGAAGATCATTCAAAACCAGTTGCAGCAGTACATCGATAGGGAAAGGCCAGAAATTCAAGCCAGATTCCGAAAAGGACGTGGAATGAGGGACGTCACTGCTGTTGTCGGATGAATCTTGGCTGAAAGCAGAGAATACCAGAAGGGTGTTTACCTGTGTTTTGTTGACTAAGCAGAGGCATTCAGCTGTGTGAATCATAACAAATTATGGACAACATTACAAGGAATGGGAATTGCAGAACACTTAATTGTGCTCATGTGGTCCAGAAGGCAGTTGTTGGAACAGAACAGGGGATACCTCCAGAAATAGCTTCAGTTCCAAGTCTGAAGGGTATATGATTCCACTTACGTGAGGTTCTAGGACAGGCAAAACAAATCTTGTCACAACAAAAACCGAGTCACCGCTGCCTAGGTAAAAATGTGTACAAGGCCGCGTTTTAGGATGATGGGAATGTTCCGTCTCTTGATTTTTTTGGTGTTTACACAGGTGTGTACATTTGTCAGCATGCATCTTGCTGAATTTTTTAAGTGAGTATATTTTATTATATGGCAGTGATATCTGAGTAAAGTTTTTTTTAATAACATATATATTTTTTCTTAACCTACAGCACCTTCTTTATTGCAACCTCTCCGTAGATATGTTTGTTAACAAATAGATGTTTGTTAAACCGAGTTCACAGAACGCAAAGGATGAGTTACCAGTTACTGCTGTGGTCGTAGTTCCGAAGTCTCAAGAGAAGCAGTCTGGACGTGAGCAGTACCAAGGCTATGAAGCAGCTAAGGACAGGCACGAGGCATCCTTAGGGCGGTCCTAACTTACACTGCAGGGTAGCTCCATGCTGCGTGCTGTGGCTTCAAGGAGTAGACATGGTACATGGAAGGTACTCCTTCCTGGACTCTGGGAAGTTAGTTTTAAGGCAAGGTCCTCAGTGCTCGTTGCAAGGGCCTGGAGGATTTTTGTATAATAGACTAAGTGGCAATGTATTTGATCCCAGTAATGAAAGAAAATTTGATCGAATCATAGAAACTGAGGGCTAGAAGGCTACGTTAATATCATTTAATGTAACTCATTACACAGATCCAGAGAGGGTAAGCAAGCTGCCCAACACCACACAGCAAATGAAAGGCAGAGTTCAGACTGGAACCAGGTATCTGCCAAGTCTCAGATCTATAATTTAAAAATAGTGCAGAATCGGCTGTGTGGAGAAGTTCAAATGAGTTGTGCTATACAAGGCTTTCATTGGGTTAGAATTTGGACTTTAGAAGCAAACAGGACGGATAAGAGAGCACAGGTAGGGGTCAGCTATCATTTGGCCAAAACTGGAGCCTTAGGGAAGGGCCACAAGTCAGTTTATGTTTTCTTGGTGAGTTCTTGAGAAACACTCACTTCCTCTACGACGGAAACCTGTTTTGTGCCTGTGTACTTGTCAGTGAATTTTCTGCAGAGGAACGTCCTGTAGCTTGTGGGTGGTTCACATGTGACTGAGAGTGTTGCTGGGTCCTGTAGGGGTGCCCACAGTCTAAATGGAGTTGATCCTTCTGCCTAAGACCTTCCCCTTTCTCCCTGTTCTCTGCACCTTTGCATGTTCAGGGGGAGACGGGAGTCACAGTTGCTATTTCGCATTTCATTTCCACAATAAAAAGTGAAAACAGAACAAAATGGAGTAAGTGATGTACTTAATTTCAAGTGGTCATTTTGAATTTTAATGATGAAGAACATTGAGATACAAAAGGTAGCTTTGGAAGTTGGGGCAGAGCATGTGTGTTAGGCAGCCCCTTGGAGTGCTGGGAGGAGGTGAAGATGAGGGCTGGGGGCTGCTGCGGGTCACGGGTCTCCCTTCTCGGCGTGGGGCAGCCTCCACTGACACAGCAGAGTCGGCAGCACAACGTCTGTGCTTTCCTAGGCACTGGTCTGTTTTGTAAACTATCCTCCTGGTTTTCTTAATATTTTATTTAAAATGTATCTCTCGACGCTTACTCCTGGGTTTCCAAAGCAGTCTCTCTATGGAAGTAGATTGTCCCGTCCCCCTTCCTCCTGGTAGGCCTGGGGAACATGGATTATTTCTTGTCTTTTCAGAATTCCTTTTCAAAGAAAGCACAGTTTGTGTTTTTGAGATAGAGGAGAGTAGGAAGGTGGGGGGAAAGAGAAAATCTTCACTTCATGGGAAGAAAAAAAATCTGTTCTCTCTTCCTCCTTGGCCATGGATGGACTAAAGGAATAGCAGTCATTTGTAAGTTTATAAAGGGGCAGGGCAAAGAATTTCCAGGTATATAGTAGAGCAAAGGACAAGGTTGTAGTCACTTCTTGGTCACAGCCAGCAACCCAGAGGGAATGAGTAGTTGAACCTATGGGCTCGGGACCATAGTCTCAGGGGACATTGAGCTCAGTTGGCATAACACACTACACAAAACATTGTTCCACCTCCTACTTTGGCAAGTAGCAACTGAGACTTTAAAGCTTGCAAGCAGCCATCTAGATTTAACAATGGGTCTCTCCTCATCCAGAGCAAAGAAGAATTAAGAAAACCAAAGATTCATGGAAACAATTAGTCCTAGCGACTGGTACACCATGCAGTCCTCAGCCTATACAACTATGAGACCAGAAGAACTAGATGGTGCCTGGCTACCACTGCCAACCACTTGGAGGGGCATCTATGTGGGAGATCCTGGAGAGAGTGGGAGAACAAGGTGGAACAAAACTCAGAATCATTCGGAGGGGGAAAAGAGAGGGGTACCAGGTTTGCTGGTCTGATAGAGCCTGATGGAACCACTGAGACTATGGCCTCTACCTGCCTTTCAGGTCTGGAATTGAACCCACTCCTGTGGCTTCCAGCCAAACAAGAGACAGATATATGAGCTGAACATTTACATTAGGTAGATACACTCCTTGGAGAGAACAATCATGGGAGAATAGAAGGGCTGTGTATGCACAGGGAGACAGCTCAACAGGCAGGAGTGTGTGGAGGGAAGGACACAGGGAAGAGCTAACTATCAGGAGGAAGTGGGAGGGGAGCTGTTGCATTGTGGGAAATTGTAGTCAGTGTCTTGAGACAAAGTGTATGTGAGCTCCTGTATGGAAAGTGAATTTGCTCTGTAAACTTTCACCCAAATCACAATTAAAAAGAAGGGGGGAGGGGGGAGGCAGGGCAAAGAGGGAAAAGAAAAAAAAAAAACAGGTGATACAGAAAAAAGTAGTTTTGAGGTTTTTTTCATTTGTATTTTTTCCCCTCTAAGTTTTCAGTTGTATTTTTAGCTCAGTGGTTTCTGGATATTTGGTGTCCTTTTTGCTTCTTTATTCATCATGTGTAATTATTATAAACTGCAGGGCTAAGTTCCCCACCCTCGTAATGACATAATATCCAAAGTCCAGTTTTTCCAACTTCGATTGGAAGTCACCCCCAGTGGAGGGCCGGTGGACATGGTTGATGCTGGGTTTGGGTATTTGTGTAGCATGTGATGATTCTGAAGCACTGTAACACACCTCCTCTGATAGTGCTGTGAAGGTTGACAGGCGGTGCTGTTCTATTTCACAGGCAGAGAAACAGGGGCTCATAGCGGTTAAGTGATTTGTTCAGATTCATGCAACTAATAATGGAACTAAGAGAAAAGCTTAAGCCATCCAGATTTTATACCACCCTTTGGGGTCCACTTTGAATACTGACAAATTGAATAATCAGTCTAGAAGGGCTTTCAAGGTGTCCAGGTTGAGTTACATGGATTTATAATAGCAAACATCGTAGCTCAGGCAAAATCACTAGATTTGTAGCCAGATTCCTTTCTAGTGTATAGTTTTTAAATGCAACTCAAATTACAGTTCTCAAAAAGTTCAATTCATTAAATATCTCTGCTCTTCATTTGTTTTGCAGGAGAAGATGATGTAAACTGGTTCATCAGTGACAAAGACATTGAGGTAAAATCAAATTGTTTTTGAGATTGGGAGTCATAGTTTAATAATGTCCTTGATTTGTATTTTCCTTTTATTTTATTTTATTTTGATAACTTTCAGAGGAAAGTTTTTGTTTTTGTTTTTCAACAGCAATGATCCAAGTGACTTAGAAGAAAAAGTTTGGTTTTATTTTATGGGTACTTGAACTTTTCAGAAATGGGGTTCAGTCTTAATTTTTGCTAGTCAGTTAATAGCCACAGAGATAGGTCCCTTTTCCCTCTATTTCTCCTCTGCCATGGTGAGTCCTCCTCAGCCCATATGGCCTGGTACCACTGAAGACCTACACCGGAAAGAACTGCTTCTTCAGTGGAAGGAAATGGTTAGTCTATATTTAGGATGTGGCAGGTGTTTGTCTTTGTCAATTATTAGCCTTAATTATGGCAGATACTAGAAAAAGGAGAATAATTTTACAATTTGGTAGAAGAAAAGTTTCAAGAACAAACTAGAATGTATGCCCTGGGGTCTACGTGGCCAGTTGAACAGAATAACAAGGAAAGGATGAATGCTGTTCCAAAGATGGAACTCTACCAAACAAGACAAAAGTGTGATTTGGGATTTACATTTCCCTGTGTAAATATTCCATGTGCTATGCTATGCTAATATTCTCTCAGGAGATGCTAAATGTAGGCTAGAATATGAGATGGCTAGAATTGGATCACTGTGTGGGCAGAATGAATCTTAAAAAAAAAATCTTGAAAGAATAACCTTAGGCTGTTCAAAAGAAAGTGTATTCAGTAGCTGTGGGGTTTTATAATTTTACAATAGGCAAAATCATAAATACACTCTCCCTTGCTTTAAAAAAAATTTAAGAAAACTGCTTATTCCAAAAAATATGGTATATATTCAGAGGTAGAAGTCTGCATTGTCTTTGGCCCTGAATGGCACCAGAATGTCTAAATGGTCCATGTTGGTAGCCCTACTAACCAGAACCATAAGTAGAGAGAGATGAAAAAGAAGGGGACACTAAGGAAAAGAAATATAAAAGAATAGGGAGGTAGGGCAAAGAGAAGTAGAGTTATCTTCCTGGCATCCGCCCTTTTAAGTTTTTCTGCCTTTTCTAAAGAGAATACAAAATTCCCTCTTGCTAGAAGAATGGATAACCAAACTATTATACACAATGGAATACTACACAACACTAAAGAATGATGTGGAATCTGCAAAACACTGCATGACATGGATGAACTTGGAGGACATTATGCTGAGTGAAACAAGTCAATCACAGAAGGACAGATATAGTATTAGTTCATTATTGTAAAAAGTCAAGGAAAGGTTTATATTTGGAAGGAAACTTTGTTGGTTACCAGGGGGTGGGAGGGGAGGGGAGGGAACACTGGAAAAAAAAATGCATCGACCCATGTCACTTTAGTTTTGTTTATTTCACTGTACATAAATTATATTTCAATAAAATATATTTGGGGAAAAAAAAATCCCTGTTGCTAGATTCCAAATTGAAGAGTCAGCGGCTGTTACTTCTCTTGCTTTATCAAGGTAAAGTAACTGATTTGACACTTGATGTTTCTTTATTCTTCATATTGATAACTTTAAATAGAGAAATTAGACTGTTTTTATAAAGAATGAAATTAATTTTTTTCTTAATTTTTTTCCCTTTAGGCCCAGATATGTAATAATAGATCATCTGGAAGATGGACCCACCGGTACTATTCAGCCAACAAAAACGTTATCTGTCGAAACTGTGACAAATGTGGCCATTTGTCAAAAAACTGCCCCCTTCCCCAAGTATGTGAAATATGTGATGTTTCTTCCCATATTAAAATCATAAAATCTTAGGGTTGGAATCCTATCCCATAGAATTTAAATCTTTTGGAGCTCATACCCCAGTGTAGTGGAAAGAAATCATAAACTAGAGTCAGAAAAACCTGGTATTAGTTCCAACTTTTCCAGCACTAGTTGTGTGACCTTGGGCAAGTCATCCAGCCCTCTGTGTCTATGTTTTCTCCTGTATCATAGAAGGAGGTGGACTCAGATGATTCCTGAAAGCCCTATCCTGTCTAAAACGTCCACTTTATAGGACAGCTTGTTTCATTTGGAGTGATTTTCACTGATAGAGAAAGGCATTTATAAATGTTTATTGAAGTAAATTGTATTAAGCAGGTACATCAACTCTTGGAGCAGCGAAGCTCTTAGACATTGCCTGACACATTAAGCTCTTAACAAACCTTCCTTCCATGCCCTACTCCTTCAAAATGGTGGTCTTTCGCTTATTTGAGATAGTTCTTGTGTGTCTTCTTTGTCCTTGTTTTTGCAGAACAGCTGCTTTCTGTGTCTGTCCCTCTTAGGACTTGCCTTCTAGCTTCTCCTCATCCTGCCTTCCCTCTTAGACCCTCTACTTTGTCATTGTTCCTGTACGACGTTCCCTGAGTAATCAATGCCAACTGACAGTACATGAACACTAAGCCATTTTGGCCACCACAGTATCCTAGATGGCCTATGTTAAAGCTCTAATTTCAGACATTTGGTTTGATTTTATAATTAGGTTCAAGATCAGATCTTCACTGGGGTTTCAGATTAGAAATCACTTTTTATGGGATCTTCTTATAGGAAAAGAAAAATAACCTTCTGCTACTTGAGATTGCAATGTTTTGCTAACGCAATCTTCTGTTTGTCTGCCAATAGAAAGTCCGCTCCTGCTGCCTGTGTGCTGAGAGAGGACACCTCCAGTATGCCTGTCCGGCCCGCTTTTGCTTAGACTGTTCTTTGCCCATGTCTTCCACTCACAGATGTCTTGGGAGATCTTCATGGAGAAAACGATGTGACCGCTGTGATACGATAGGCCACTATGCTGACGTGAGTATCCTGTATCCAGTGAATTGGTTGGCTTTGGGGGCAGTGTGCCAGCTGGGCACTGTCAGTCAGCCTAACTGAAAGGATGTGTATTCTGTACCATGTAGAGTGAGGGCCACTAATGACGTGGAGCAGGACTCTGATGTCTCAGGTTTTACTGAATGGCTTTGCAGCATCAACAGATACTGTAAGCCTCTTTGCTCAGTGTGTTGGCCAAGTAAAGGTTTAGTTTAGAGGTCCTAAATAGCATGTAAATGTTGTGTCTGTAGTCATGCATATTGAGGTGAAAAGATGTAGACAGCTAACATTTATACATATGCCTGTGTTAAGCCTGTCTTGATGCTGCATCTTCATGGCTCTCACTGGTATAATAAATAGTCTTAGGCAGAAGGAACAGGCCACTCAGGACCTTAAGTCTGCTGGTTTTAGCATTTTCTTTAGACAAAAAGACAAAAAAGTAATTTAGAATACGTTTTAGTCCCATGCAGCACATTGAAACATGACTTTGGTATTGTGTGCATCATACTATAAATGTGTCTGGGGTTCTGGGCCTATGAATTTCAGGGACCGGAAGAGTTACTGAGGTAAGTGAGCTTTGATGTGGAAAACACAGTTTTACATTCAATTTACTCCTAACTGCTAATGAGTGTCTCATTAAGTGTCTGTCATTTTAGCTCTTAATTGCATCTCTTACTACGTGGTAGCATATGTTTATTTTGTATTGCCAGCTAATCAGTATGAAGCCATTTTTCATACTCCTACCCAGGCGCCTGTCATCACTGGTTTAAGGGATCTGCTCTTATTGTTCCAGGCATTACTTGTCTATTAAAAACAAAGCAGGTCCTTCTCCTCTCCTTTGTGTGTCTCTCAGACATGCTACAAAGACACTCTGACTGTATTCACAATGAGGTGCATCTGTAGCCTTTTGCTCAAAAAGTAATAGGCTGGGAGAAGACCGTCAGGTGAAAACAAATTAGAGCGCGAGTGTGTTCTTTCTCTCGTAAATAGTTTGCTGTTGTTTCTTTTAATTTTTTAAAACTCTTTTTTCTAAACTAATGAAAATAGGATCATACTATGCACACTGCCCTATGACTTGATTTTTTTCCAGTCGGTTCTTTATGGTTCTCCCTCGGTATCAGCTCGGGGGATACAGCTTTCTAATGAGTGACTTTTCTTCAGTAGTCTGGAGGGAGCTACCAGCCTTTCTTTAGCAAGAAATTTAGGTTACTGTTGTTTCCCGTTTGGTTGTTGAAGCAGGTAGTGCTGCATTGTGTGTGTGTGTGTGTTAAAGTATCTCAGTATGTCAAATTCTGTGAATGGAATTGTGTAAATAAGGAATACGTACACATATGCGTAGATCAGTATTGCCAAATCGCCCTTCTGAAAGTGGGTACCAGTGTGTCCCCCACCAGTGTTGAAGAGTGCCCACTTATGCTCATCAGCACTAAGTAGCAATCTGTAAAAATTTTGACCAGATAAAGAGAAAATTGTATCTTACTGTTTTAATTAGTATTAAAAAGTGAAGTTGAATATGATTGATGAGTTTATTCTAATTTTCAGAGTAGAAGGTATAATTTCATTCGAAAGTAGTTTCAACTTACTTTTCAGATATTTACAAAGTCTTAAAAATAATAAATCCTAAGTTATCTTAGTTTTATACTATTGCTGTCTGCATTAAGTTGTCCATTACAATTTTCGTAGAAAGATTTTCCAGTTTGGTGTTATGCTCAATATTATATGTGTTTACTCCTTTCTTCCAAAGTGTTTTTGCAAACAGGGTCTTACTTGCCTATGATAACAGAAGGGGTGGGACCTTACTGGGAAGTTTTTGAATAAGCAGCTGTAGGGCAGAGCAGCTAAGAGTGACTTGTGAATGGTTATACAGTCAGCTGTTAGTTCTGTCTGTAGCCCTTTGTCTTTAACTTTGACTGCTAACCAGAAGGCTAGCAGTTCAAACCCACCAGTCATTCCTCAAAAGGAAGATTGAGCAATCTATATCCATAGAGATACCACCTCAGAAACCCAAGGAGGAGACACTGTGAGTCGATTCAACTCGAAAGCAGTGAGCTGGTTTTTTTTCCCTTTTTTTTTTTTTTGTAATGTATATTCCATCAATTGCCTGTCAGTTGGTCATACTGTGGTGGCTTATGTGTTGCTGTGAGGCTGGAAGCCATTCTAGTATTTCAAATACTAGTAAGGTCACCCATGGGAGACAGGTTTTAGTGGAGCTTCCAGACTAAGACAGACTCAGAAGAAGGAAGGGGCCATCCACTTAGCAAAGTATTGGCTGGCCAGTGAAAACCTTAATGAATAGCAGTGAACCATTGTCTGATACATTACTAGAAAACTTTAGGAATAGCCCTGAAACATTGTCCAATATAGTGCCAGAAGATTAGCCCATCAGGTCGGAAGGCCCTCAAAATAAGACTGGGGAAGAGCTGCCTCCTCAAAGTAGAGATGACCTTAGTGACACAGATAGAGTAAAGCTTTTGGGACCTCCATTTGCTTGTGGGGCATGACTTAAAATGGGAATAAACAGCTGCAGACATCCATTAATAATTGGAATGTAGAACATACAAAATATGAATGTAGGAAAATTGGAAGTTGTAAAAAATGAAATGGAAAGCATTAAGATCGATATCCTAGGCATTGGTGAGCTGAAATGGACTGATATTGGTCGTTTTGAATAGGATAGTCATATGATCTACTATGCTGGAAATGACAAATTGAAGAGGAATAATAGTGTAGCATTCATCTTGACAAAGAATATTTCAAGATGTATCCTGAAGTACAGTGCTGTTAGTGATAGAATAATATCTATACACCTACAAGGAAAGCTAGTTAATACTACTCTTACTCAAATTTATGCATCAACCACTAAAGCCAAAAATGAAGAAATAAAAGGTTTGTTGGTTTTTTTTTTTTTACCAACTTAGGCAGCCTGAAATTGACCAAACATGCATTCAGGATGTATTGATGATCACTGGTGATTGGAATGCAAAAGTTGGAAATGAAGAATCACGTGTAGTTGGAAAATGTGGCTTTGGTGATAGAAATGATGCCAAAGATCACATGATAGAATTTTGCAAGACCAATGACTTATTTATTACAAATACCTTTTTTCAACAATGTAAATGGTGGCTATGTACATGTCCCCCACCAGTTGGAATCCACAACAATAAGATTGACTACACCAGTGGATAGAGAGGGTGGAGAAGCTCAGTGTCTTCAGCACAAACAAGGCCAGGAGCTGACTGTGGAACAGACCAGCAATTGCTCGTATACAAGGTCAGGTTGAAGCTGAAGAAAATTAAAACAAGTCTGTGAGAGCCAAAATATGACCCTGATTTATCCCGCCTGAATGTAGAGATCATCTGAAGACTAGATTGGATGCATTGAACACTAATGACTGAAAACCAGACAAGTTGTAGGATAACATCAAGAATATCATATACACAGAAAGCAAATGGTTATTAAAAAGACGGCAAAGGAAGAAAAGACCAAAGTGGATGTCAGAGGAGACTCTGAAACTTGTTCTTGAACAGAGAGCAGCTGAAGCTAATGAAAGAAATGATAAGGTACAAGAGCTGAACAGAAGATTTCAAAGGGCAGCTCGAGAACACAAAGTAAAGTATTAAAATGAAATGTGCAAAGACTTGGAGTTAGAAAACCAAAAGGGAAGAATATGCTTGGCATTTCTCAAGCTGAAAGAACTGAAGAAAAAACTCAAGGCTTGAGTTACAATATTGAAGGATTCTATGGGCAAAATATTGAATGCTGCAGGCAACATCAAAAGAAAATGAAAGGAATACACAGAGTCACTGCACCAGAAATCATTGGTCCGTGTTCAGCTATTTCAGGAGGTAGCATATGATCAAGAACCAATGGTATTGAAAGAAAAAGTCCAAGTTGCACTGAAGAAATTGGCAAAATAAAAGTCTGCAGGAATTGACGGAATGCCTGTTGAGATGCTTCGACAAACTGATGGAGTGCTGGAGGCACTTGCTCATCTTTTTGCCAAAAAATTTGGAAGACAGCTCCCTGGCCAGCTTACTGGAAAAGATCCATATCTGTGCCCACTGCAAAAGAAAGATGATCCAACAAATTGTGGAAATTATTGAACAGTACCCTTCATATCACATACAAGTAAAATTTTGCTGAAGATAATTCACAAATGGTTGACTGGGAATTTCCAGAAATTCAAGTTGGATTCACAAGAGGATACAAAACAAGGGATATCATTGCTGATGGATCTTGGCTGAAAGCAAAGAATACCAGAAAGATGTTTACTTGTGTTTTATTAACTAAGCAAAGGTATTTGACTGTGTGGATCATAGAAAATTATGGATAGCATTCCAAAGAATGGGAATTCCAGAACATTTAATTGTGCTGATGAGAAACCTGTACATAGTCCTAGAGGATGTCGTTAAGATAGAACATGGGGACACTGCATGGTTTAAAATCAGGAAGGGTATGTGTCAGGGTTGTATCCTTTCACCATATTTTCTCGGTCTTTATGCTGAGCAAAATAATCTGAGAATATATAAAGAAGAACATGGCATCAGGATTGGAGGAAGACTCATTATCAACCTGCAGTATGCAAATGACTCAACCTTACTTGCTGAAAGTAAAGATGACTTGAAGCACTTACTGGTGAAGATCTAAGACTACAGTGTTAGTATGGATTACACCTCAACCTAAAGAAAACAAAAATTCTCACAACTGAACCAATAAGCAGCATCACGATTAATGAAGAAAAGATTGAAGTTGTCAGGGATTTCATTTTACTTGGATCTACAGTGAACACTCTAGGAAGTAGCAGTCAAGAATTCAGACATCATATTGCACTGGGCAGATCTGCTGCAAAAGACCTCTTTAAAGTGTTAAGAAGCAAAGATGTCACTTTGAAGACTAAGGTGCGCCTAACCCAAGCCTGGGAGCTCTGGTAGCATAGTGCCTAAGGCACGTAACTGCTAGCCAGAAGGCTGGTGGTTCAAACCCAC